CTACAAGTACGCCGGGGAGTTCTGCAAGCTCGCAGCGGTGACGGCGTTAGAGGACGCCGTCCTTAATCAGCTGTTCTGGCTCGGGGCCAACTACCATCACCCCGTGGACTCCTCCAGAGCACCCTCCAGTGCCAGCTCCTCGAAAGCACTTTGCTGTGCCTGCTCCTCCAGAGCACCCTCCACTGCCAGCACCACGTAAGCGCTACTCTGTTTCCGATGTCAGCCCAGGGAGGGCTCCTGTTTCCCCGTTAAGCCCACGGAGGGCTCCTGTTTCCCCGTTAAGCCCACGGAGGGCTCCTGTTTCCCCGTTAAGCCCATGGAGGGCTCCTGATTCCCCGGCTCCGCCATGGCAACCTGAGCTAATCATTAATTACCCTCATTGTGCTCACCTGTCTGCCACTAATTATCCACCATATATTAGTTCCTGTCTGTCAGAGCTTTAGTGTCGGTTATTGTTAATGTTACCCCGAGTGTGTGTCTCACCTACCTGAACCTGCCTTGTTGTGTCTACAATAAATGTCATTATTGGAATCCTTGTCGTCCTCGTCGTCCGCGTCGTTCTGCCTGCCTCCACACACCCGTTTCCGTGACAATAATAGGGGCTTTCAGTTAATTAAAAAATAATGAATTATTCACATGATATGCGTATTTATTGTTTAAATCAATCACAGTTCATATTGTGTATATCAATATTTGTTTAGAAACAGTCTCAAAATTAAGATACTACAAAGTTTCTAAGACATAATAATAATACAGCATTGTTGTGACAGGTGGGTAAAGCATTTAATAGACATTCAAATATTGTTGCAAATATTGGCTTTAAAAGTCAATATGTGATTAATTTTCTTTCCATAAAATGTAACATAATCCATTTCCCCCCATTTTAAGGCTGATATAATGGATTTTCTTTGTAGCTTCTTTAATTTTTTGTATAATTAATTGTACTAAATTAATGTTTTACATTGACAGCTCTAATTGTAATGTTAATGATCAAATTGGATGAAAAAGCTACGAAACGAGAAAGCTTGACGGCAGATTTGGCGCTTAGTCAGATAAACTCTAATTTGCGATTATAAACCAGAGGCGCCATTCATAAACATCAGTGATGACTTGAGTTTAAACGTCAAGTCTCATCTCATCTCTTCTTCATAAATCTCTGAAGCTGGCGATTACCATTCAGAAGACGGCGCGCCTTCCCATCTGTCACCAGGAAAATTGCATCATCATTTTCACAATCCATCCATCTATCCTGCAAATGTCAGATGGCTTTCTCCCCACCATGTTTATCGCAGATAGTTTTGATAGGTGGAAGTTTATTTATATCCATTCTCAAACAAAATGTGGTTTCGGTACCTTGATCTTGCTGTACAATCTGACAAACAGTCAAAATAATTAGCTGAGGTGGAGCTTCCAGCTGAGAAAGTGAATGAGATTACAGAGCGATGCCCCGGGTAGAGCAGACGCTTGCGAGCTATCTGTCACCCGGCGCGGCATCGTCTCTGAAGGCTCTGGTCTTGCCCTCCAAGTCACTGCGAACCACTTCAGCACTGGTGGGCAAGGGGTACTCGGCAGCGGGTCAGGCTGGTGCGTGTCCCTAAGGTCTCCTTATGAGTCCTCTGATCTCCCCTCACCACTGGGGGTCAAGGCTCACTCAACAAGAAGTGTGGTGGCCTCCAAGGCCTTTCTGTCCTGTTCAGTTCCTATGCAGGACATCTGCAACGCTGTAGGATGGTCTACGCCCCTCACGTTCGTCAGGTTCTATGACCTAGATTTGCGAGCCACTCCAGGCCCCTCTGTTCTCTTGCCATAGCTGTGCTCTTCCACACTAGGCAGGGATTTGCAAGTCTGGCGGCGTGGACATCTCGTTCCCCTAGTGTTTTCCGACGCAGCTGGAGTTCCCGAAGGGGAACGTCCCAGGTTACGTATGTAACCATGGCTCCCCAAGGGAACGAGATGCTGCGTCGCAAGGCCATACTTCCGGCATCCCTACTAGAGCTTGCTTCACTCCTAAGAAGCTAGCGCCGGCTGCACCTCACGTGCTTTTAAAGCTTCCTGGTCATGACGTCACCCGCCTCTGACATCTCGCCCATCGATTCGACTGATTACACATATGATTCAGAGCTTGGTATCGCTGAAGGCGTTCCCCTAGCGTTTTCTGATGCAGCGTCTCGTTCCCTCGGGGAACCATGGTTACATACGTAACCTGGGACGTTTCTCATGCTGATGTTGTTTTCTCTTTAAGTTTGATCTGCTAATGAGATGCACAGGCAGAGAGACAAAGGCTTTGGTGCTGAGCAATGTCATAATTTGTTTCCTTGCATCCTCTGCAGTAAATTAATTTCCCCAGACTAGCAGCTTCCTGCTGAGATGACACATAAATGCACAACTGAGGCAAATGCTAACTGTGCGTTTATGGGATTTGTGTTTGTGGATCTGAGGTGAGCGTAAATGTTAGGGGGTTTTTTGTTGTTGTTTTGTTTTTTTAGAAATCTAAATCTATGACAGCATATAGTCCTGTTTCATTGTCATTTGACAGGAAATGTGATTGTTTGGCACATTTTATTGCTTGAGGTCAATTCAACAAAACCTCCATCTTTTTTCTGTCTCTCTGTTTTACGTTTGTTTCCTTTGAGCTGTCAGAGTTAATTGGAAAAGAGGTCAGGGGTGCATAGAGAGAGTGAAGGATGGATATTAATCAGCTCTTACGGGCATAAACATGTATGACAACATTATGTTCCTGTCCAGCAGCCAGTGGAACTTAAACTAATCAATTAAATATGAGAAACTGGGTTAAATAAGGGATGTAAAATGAGTGTCATGTATCTGTTCATCATCACTTAATAACCCTTAACAGGTTAACATTTCCAGGGACGTAGATGAGAAATAAAACCTCATGTTTCAGGGTGCATTTCATCTAGCATAACTCAACCTTAAACATGCATGGAGAGCGTCAGCCAATTTTCCTTATGATCTATAGATGTGTCTCATGGGATCATTATGGAGATGACTGTGCCAACCCGTCTGTCCTCTGCAGTGAGACTGAAGTATCTACATTCCTCAAAATAGAGTTCTTTAATGGTGCTTTCTTCTCATTTTTGGCTGCTAAATCAGTTCTGTTGGTTTTTGACCCTGCTGGTGTTTGTTTGTGGCACTGAGAAACTGCCCTAAGAGTTTACTCATGCTTCTGTAAGTTATTCTTTTATTCTTCTGATCCGGGAAGTTCTGCTGCTTATCTAATAATGATGACTGCTTTGATTTGGAGGTCACTGTTGGTCTTTGGTCAGTCGTAAATACCGGCTCCAGCCTGAAGCTGATATCACAGGCAAATTGGCCTTTGAGTCGCACTGCTGTTATTTATGCCATAGCTTAAGAGAACGAGAGAGAGAGAGAAGCAAAAGAAGAGGGTCATTTACAACACACTTTGAAAGAATAAAAATTCATGAGGATCACGGACTGTCAAAATCAGATGCGATTTTGATTCATTTATTTCTGAAAATGTTCATGCTTCTTGCATGCTAATGAAAACTTAACACATCTTACCCTTAACTATTAAGACGTGGTTGTTCTTTTTTCTTGTTTTATTATTTTATCTTGCCAGTGGTGCAAAGTTGAGCCTGGACTGGCATTGAAGTCCCCTTTTAAAAAATAGCAGCATGACGCCCTGATAGATGTCACATATAAACAGTCCTGAGGCCAAACAAAGGTCATACAATAACCAATTCTCACTCAGTCGCAAGGCAGCCATAGAACAAAACAGCCAGTTATAAAATTTTTAAGCAGATGTGTTGGTAAAAATAGAAGCTTGCAGAGAAATGCATCTTGATGGTGTTTTATATACTAGAACACATGAGAATATACAACATAAAGACAAGGAATAGCGTGCAGTAAATAGCCTTTCTGACTGTGTTTATGTACAGCTGTTAGGGCAAAACCTTTCAGCGCTTGATGACACAAATCTGGGCAGTCAGTCTGAAAGCCAAGTTCACGCATAGTGCATTGAGTTTGCCCTCAACTTCTTGACCTGCTTCAGATTGACACTATTCTGACCGCCAGTTTAGTGTGTTGCATATTGGAGCAGTTTCTTCTAAAGCCTTTCAGAAGCAGGAAACCTGGTGTAAAATGCTGAAATGTTGGAATGTAGCTCTTCAAAGCGGCAGCCCGATCCAAATGTTTCTCTTGAGGCACTGGTGACATTTTCAACAGTATAAAACACACAAAGAAAGCCTGTTAGGCACCATGTTTATTATCGTTTTAAGTACCAAACCATTTTTCATTGCTTCTCACCCTGACACCAAAATTCTAACTGATATGAATCAAACAAAAGAATGATGATTGGAAAGCAGCACATTTTCACTGTCAAAGAGGTGGTTGTTGAAAGGATAGTTTACCCAAGAAAGACAGTTCATAAAGTTTACCAAACCTATATTGCTTTACCTGTATCTGTATTCTTTGATCTGTGGAACATAAAAAAAGATTTTAAAAAAGGTTACCAAAACAGTTCGGTTGCAAGATTCTTCAAAATATCTTCTTTTGTGCTCCACAGAAGATAGAAAATCATATAGACGACATGAGAGTGAGTATATCACTTCTTTTTTTTTTTTTTTTGAGTGAACTGTCCATTTATGTGTTGTTTTTTTTATTAAAGGGCATATAATCTGATTAATTTGACTACATTTTTAATCAGTACACACCCTGTGTGTATAACATATGAGTTCTGAATATGAAATGTGCGTTACTTGAAGATGCAACTGCTTCACACAGTTGGTGAGCCATTTAAAGATAAACATAATGTGCTCTGATGGGACCGTATGCTGAGAAAACTCAACAGCACAATGGATCTACCAATAAAACAACATGAAGTCATGCTGTGCATGCATTCACACCCTGTGAAAAAGACAACAAAAAGCCTTGATAGGAAGAGTGTTTTTCATCTAACATCTTAACTCTTTCTTTCCTTCCAATTTTTGCCTCCTCCATCTTTCCTTCCCCTCCATTCTCAGGAGTATCCGGTGTCTGAGAAATATCATCCACTGGAACCTGATTACAGCATTTATCCTGCGAAATGCCACCTGGTTCGTGGTGCAGCTCACTATGAACCCAGAGGTGCACGAGAGCAATGTGGTGAGTAAACACATACGCAGACAAATATTCTCTCCTTCTCCTATTACTTTTCTTTTCAAAATACACAAGCAGTGCACACATAATCCATTGTTATTTCTCACAACACGTGCACACCCACCTTTTTGTTCCATCTATTGTTCGTTCTCACTATTTCTCTCTCTTCACCCTAGTGTTATTCTCTCATTCTGTTGGCACACATGCGGACAAACACAAGTTTATTAAAGGAATAGTTCACTTGAAATGAAAATTTGCTGAAAATTTACTCACCCTCAGGCCTTCCAAGATGTAGATGAGTTTGTTTCTTCATCTGAACAGATTTGGAGAAATTTAGCATTACATCACTTGCTCACTAATGGATCCTCTGCAGTGAATGGGTGCCGTCAGAATGACGGCTGATAAAAACTTCACAATAATCCACAAGTAAACCACACAACTCCAGTCCATTAATTAACGTCATGTGAAGTAAGAAGCGGCATGTTTGTAAGAAACAAACCCATTACTTGTTGCATTTTTAACTTCAAACTGTTCCTTCCAGCTCAACAATCCATAATAATGCTTTCTCCAGTGAAAAAGTAATCTTGTCTGAAACAGGAGAGAAATATGCACAGATCTGAAAAACAGATTCACACAGTGCATACGGTTGGATTTTGAGGTGAGAGGACAACAGGGGATGGACTTTTTCACTGGGGGGAAGCGTTATGACTTTTGAACTGGTGTTTTAGCCAGAAGCAAAGATTTAAATTTAAAACACCCTAATGATGGATTTGTATCTTTTCACTTCACAGTATGTTGATTGATAGACTGGAGTCATGTCTGTTACTTGTGGATTATTGTGATGTTTTTATCAGCTGTTTGGACTCTCATTCTGACGGCACCCATTCACTGCAGATGATCCATTGGACATAAAGTGATGTAATGCTAAATTTCTCTAAATCTGTAATGAAAAAAAAAAAAACTCATCTACATCTTGGATGGTCTGAGGGTACATTTTCAGCAATTTTTCATTTTTGGGTGAACTATTCATTTAATTGCATTCAAAACCTGCCCCTGACACCTGGGTCTCTGTTTCTGCTCTCTAACAGACATGGAAATCTAACTAGTCTCAGAGTGTATGGCGTTGTTGGCACTAGATGTGTGTTGGTGGGTGTTTTGGGTGGGAATGCAAACAGCTCGGCCCCTGAGTCACCATCCGCTATGCTTCCCCAAGAATTAATTACCCTCCACATTTATGTGCTTCCTTAATCAACTGAGCCGAGCAATTAATTCATCTACCGCCACGTCAATGTCAGTCCCAAGGGGCTTTTCCATCTACATCCAAATTCAGCCTCGTATACTTTATGATGCACATGGCTTTTCAGAAAGTATCAGAGTTTGATTGCACCATGTTTGTCCTTGATACTTATCTTTTGTATTTGCCAAAGCAAAATTTGTACCTGTTTATCTGTATTTTATGCAAGGGCTGACTTAATTGGCTCTTCATGCTAAGATTTTGCATGGCAACACATTAGTTCTACCTCTGAACTCCCCTAGAGAGAAACTTCAAATAGGAAGCAAAAAGTTGCAAGGGGTTTTAAGGCAAAAGTGGTTATTAAGCATTTCTCCAGGTCTTTGTGTAGACAGCAGTGGCCTAATTTTACCTAGTTTCCATTCAAAGAAAGCTCCTTTGAGATGTTTAAAAGTGACAAGAAAAGATTTGTGGACAAATGCGCCTTCCGTCGACCTGTCTAGATGAAATAAAATGAGCATTCTTGGACAGAATGGAGAGCCGGAGGCTGTTTAAATGTGAAGGAAATTGTGTAAATACGCCATGTCATTGATGCACTTGTTTTGAATCGTTTCAAATACATTTCAAGCAAGTGAACCCGGTTGCCTCTTGGTTTATACAAAGACCATCATGACTCAATCCTCTTTGCTTAACGACGTTGAGCTTTGCATTATGTTTTTTTTTTCTGTATATACAAGATGCATCTGTTTAGAAACGGCTCACAAGTCAGAGCAAACAGCTCTTTCGCTGAGATTTATAGCACAAAATGACACATTTATTGTGAAAAGTGTCACTTTGTGGAGAATTTACGCAATGCCTGTTAATGAAAGACATTGTTCAGTAAGTAACTGTAAAATAAAGATCCCAAAGAAGCTTATAATCTCTACATGATCCTAAATTCCTGTCACACCAGGGGGCCTATTATGGAAGACAGTTGTAAAATTCTGCAGAAGTACTTCTGAGAGCCAGAGGACTTTATGACTGAAGAAGCTTTTCATTTCCCTCCACTATTTCACATGTTGAAACAAAATCGTTACCACAGAACACATGTAATGGTCTATGGACTATTAGCTCACTGATTAATGCTGGGAAACAATAAACCTTCATTTGTTTTTCAAGCCCATATGGCTGAGATAAGCGTTAGCCTGAGATTTTGCTTTCTGAGGTCTGAAAATGTGTAATCTTTCTGTGACCCTTGAATTCCCACTTCAGTCATAACTCACAGCTGTAATCTTCAATCTTTTGCCGAGAGTGACAGATTTTTTATCTTCTCGTGAGACAACAACTTGACAGGGCACAGTGATGAAATATGGCCAAAACAAAGGAGCGGCGGCTGGGATTAAACAGGATTAAATAGAGGGCTCCTCTGATGTGGATGTCTCTTGCAAATGTCAGAAGCATCTCTGCTTTCCCATCCAGCTGCAGTTCTGTCATACTGTCTTTTTAACATCTCTGTCATTCGAGTTTTTGTTTGTGTTTGTTTTTTTGGCCTGTTAGATGATTTCTTAATCATCAATCTATCCTTTTTCGAAGTATATACACTATCGTTCACAAGTTTGGGGGCAGTGATTTTTTTTTTTCTTTTTGAAAGAAATCTCTTATAAATATATTTAATCAAAAATACAGTGAAAACAGTAATATTGTGGAATATTATTACTGTAACTGTAAAACAGCTGTGTAAATGTATTTATGTATGTATTTGTTTATTCTTCCTTTTACAGCTTTGTGTTTTAGCACTTTTATTTGCTTGATATTTTTGTGGAAACAAATTTAGTGGATACATTTGTTTTTAGGATTATTTGATTAATAGAAAGTTCAAAAGAACAGCATTTATTTATTATTGTTTATTAATTGTGTAAACTGCTATTTATTCATATGAACTATTTAATTTATACACCTATAATATTTACTACCAATAAGATGAAAACAAAATCTATGAAATTTTCATGTAAAAATCCAGTTTGAATAAGATTCTTATGAAGGAAATTATTTCAGTATAAGCTATTTATTATGTAAATGAATATCAAGAATTTAGACATATACTCTCTCTGTCTACATTATGAAAACTGGTCAAACAAATAAACAAAAACAGTAAAATTCCTAATTCCAGTAATTCCAAACTGCAATAATGTTTCTCTATTAAAACAACAGCAGTTGGGTAAGTACATTTATTCCAGAAACCACAATCGCAAACAATATAGTTGAGATCCATGTAGCACAAGCGGCTCATGACAGAACACAGACTGAAACTGCCAGACTGCATAAATTAAGTAAAAGCTCTGATTTGGGGATTTGAACTCTTGATATGTGGCAACCGCAAACATGAAAGCTGGTATAGTAGAGGCGTGTCCAACAGCCTGCAATATTTTTGTCTTATTTTTATTTATTTTTTTTTAAGTTTTGATTTTTTTTAAATACATTTCTTTCTCGTATTTTATCATCAATGATATTGCATGTTGGTATAGTCATAGTTATTGTTTATTGCCCTTATTTTCATCTCGTCATCGTCTCATTTTAGTCATGGGAAAAAAGATTGTCAACGAACATTTTTCACCATAGTCTTCATTGAGGAAATTACCACTAGTGTTTACACTGTTTTCTTAACTAAAAAAAAAACAACTTATAAAACTGCCTTTGAAATTGTTCAAATCCGATCAAACTACTTTTGATCTGCCAAAGCTTAAAGATTTCACATTCAGAAATAAGACTTTCATTTTGACACTGACCATCTGTATTATGTCCTAAGAGGTATTGTTCTTCTGATAGTCCGGTCATGAGAAGCCATAACCCACTGGCTTTCATCATACTTTAATCTAAATCTGCTCCATCCTGAGGCCTCGTTTTAGACTCCCCCATCCCAATCTACCCATCTGTAATGTCCCTTCCCTTGGAGTAAAAAGGTTTTATCCCCTGCTTGGTGTTTGAACTCTGCTTCAGTCATAAAGAGTAACCCTTCCACACATGCAAACACACACATGCGCAAGCTTTCATTTCCTTAAGCTATTAAAATAAAAGCATTTTAAAACAGAGAATGCTAACAAGAAGTGGCATGGTGATCTCCTTAGGCACAATTTAGGACAGTTTCTAAACATCTAACTGGATTTCTCTTTCTCTCATCACTCTCAGATCTGGTGCAGGCTGGTCACAGCAGCGTATAATTATTTCCATGTGACCAACTTCTTCTGGATGTTTGGAGAGGGCTGTTATCTGCACACAGCCATAGTACTGACATACTCCACCGACAAACTGAGGAAATGGATGTTCATTTGTATAGGCTGGTGTAAGTATCCCATGATGCACTATGATGGACTATGATATAATTCACCAACTGAATTATACAGTTTTTGGATCATGCATATTGAAATAACGTATGACTTATGGCATGTGCAGTCACATGTATTTAAAGATGAACATGTCACATTGTTGATGTAGAATTATTCCACATCAAGTACTTGTTTTTGTCCCTTATGCCTGTGTAAAAATCTATGAATAGCTTATGCTAACTTAAAATATCCTTAATATTTATTAAACACATTAAGAAAAATTAACAAAAATATTTTATTTTATTTATTTTTTTATTTTTAACATAATAATTTTTTACATTGAAATGTATTAACAATTTAAACTAGGGCTGTCAAACCCATGATTAATGATTAATCACATGCAAAATAAAATTTTGTGTTTATATAATTTACTGTATGTGTGTGTGTGTACTGTGTATATTAATTATGTATATATAAATAGACACATACATGTATGTGTTTATATTTATATTATATATAAATATTTAAAAAAAAAAATTATAAATATAAATATTTTATTTATATTTTATATACAGTACACAGACATATATTATATAAACAAAAACTTTTATTTTGCATTAAATTAATTGTCATTAATTGTTTGACAGCCCTGCTTTAAACACATTATAAACCTGATATAATAAAAAAAAAAAATGTTTAAAAAGGAAAAATATGAACTCACCTGGGAAAAGCACCTGTTTCATAGAATGACATAGATTGTTTATTAAAATGTGTTTAAAGTCAGTCTGACACACAGTACATAATCCATTTTACACAAAGTAATTATGATTAAAAATGAAGCAGACAAACATTTTTGGACACAGCGCAAGAACTGAGAAAGCAAATAAGGTCATTTCTGATTTCATGTTGCCTTTAAAGTACAGCAGTGATTAAATTACTGTCAATTAATAACTTGAAAAGGAGACACAGTTACAGTAGTTGATAATTACACTAATGAGGACTGCAATTTGATCAGGTTCTCTTCTGAACCATAGGCAAATTATTATTATGCGAATAAACAAGCCTTGGATTTTCCTCGTTAAAAATGCATTGCAAATGAGTCATTGCCGATGATTTATCACACAGTTCCTTAATAGTATCAATTATACTGTTTGTACAATGTCTTTGATTTTTCAAACTAATCAGAGTGGGTGGAAATTTGCTCTGCTTTTTTCCTCAGGTATTCCATTCCCCATTATCGTCGCTTGGGCCATTGGCAAGCTGTACTATGACAATGAAAAGTGAGTTTCTCCCATGCTGAGGCTTTCTTCCATTTTCTTTCTTTATTTATCTCTGTATAATTCCTGTATTTTACTCTAAACACAAGCTGCCTCACCTCAATAAAAGCAATTAAAGGTTTTACTCCAATTATCTCTGTCATCTACCCTCACTCTGGTCATTAAACAATCGATGCACGATAAAGCCAGAGAAGCATTCTGCGCTCTGAGTGAGGCTAATTAACGCCTGCTACTCACGAAATTGATGTAAACATCCTAGAGTTCAATAGTCAAGACATGATATATACAGTACAAGATCTCCTGTATAAAAAGAAACAAATAAACAAACACACGCTTTATTGGACCTTTTAAAAGGACGGATTAGGGCAGATATTCTACTAAAGCCCTCATTAGCTTCTTCAGTCTCAAGATGGGAAACTTTACAAACAAACAATGAATAAGAAATGTTAATTTATTCATATTAAGTAGGGGTAGAGGGTATATAATCTTCATTTTCCAGGCTTGACATTTGGGCTTAAGTGCATGAAATATGATATTATTGTAATATAAGAAAGCCAGTGTTGGAGATAAAACAAAAAGCAAGAACAGCATGTTTACTGTCTTCTGCATGAATAGATGGATGGATGGATGGATGGATGGATGGATGGATGGATTGATTGATGATTGATTGATGATTGATTGATGATTGATGGATGAATGGATGATTGATTGATGATTGATAATTGATGATTGATGATTGATGATTGATGATGGATGGATGGATGGATGGATGGATGGATGATTGATGGATGGATGGTTGATTGATAAATGATTGATGGATGGATGATTGATGGATGGATGGATGGATGGATGGATGGATGGATGGATGGATGATTGATTGATTGATGAATGATTGATGGACGGATGGATGGATTGATGATGGATGGATGAATGATTGATTGATGATTGATGGATGGGTGGATGATTGATGGATGAATCAATGGATGGATGGATGGATTGATGATTGATGGATGATTGATGGATGAATCAATGGATGGATGATTGATTGATGAATGATTAATGGATGGATGGATGATTGATTTATGAATGATTGATGGACGGATGGAAGGATTGATGATTGATGATTGATGGATGGATGAATGAATGAATGTATGAATGAATGAATGAATGAATTAATGAATTAATGAATGAATGATGGATGGATGGATGGATGGATGGATGGATGGATGGATGGATGGAGGATTGATTGATTATTGATGGATGGGTGGATGATTGATGAATGATTGATGGATGAATCAATGGATGGATGGATGATTGATGGATGAATCAATGGATGGATGATTGATTGATGAATGATTGATGGACGGATGGATGGATTGATGATGGATGGATGAATGATTGATTGATGATTGATGGATGGGTGGATGATTGATGGATGAATCAATGGATGGATGGATGGATTGATGATTGATGGATGATTGATGGATGATTGATGGATGAATCAATGGATGGATGATTGATTGATGAATGATTAATGGATGGATTGATGATTGATTGATGAATGATTGATGGACGGATGGAAGGATTGATGATTGATGGATGGGATGGATGGATGGATGGATGGATGATTGATTGATGAATGATTGATGGACGGATGGATGGATTGATGATGGATGGATGAATGATTGATTGATGATTGATGGATGGGTGGATGATTGATGGATGAATCAATGGATGGATTAATGATTGATGGATGGATGGATAAAAGTGGACTTTTTTATTCTCCATTGACTGTGAATAGGAAATAGGTAACACTGTCCAATTTGAACTTTATTCTTGTGTGTGAATAGTTGTTAATTGGAGGCTCTGAAGTGCTAACAAACTAAACAGTTCCATTTCCTGCACAGAAGTAATTAAAGAGTCTCTGTTAACAGTCCTTAACACCGCTCTAATTCTCTTTCTCACTTACATCTGCTTTACACTATAGAGAGAAGTGATACTCGACTGGTGCATTTGACCCAAAAATGGGTCACAGTTCTGCACAGCAAGCAAACAATGCTAAATGCGAATAATAAAATGCAGCTAACCATATAATAGTACACGGATTATGTTGTTAATGTCAAAGGCTGTACATCAAGGTGGGTGCTAGGGTGTCTTGAAAATTTATTTATCACTTAAAGGGATAGTTCACCCAAAAATGATAATTCTGTTATCATCTACTCACTCACAAACCTGTATGAGTTTCTTTCTTTCGCTGAACACAAAATATCTATTGAAGAATATGGGTAACTGAACAGTTTCTGCTCCCCATTGACTTCCATAGTATTCTTTTCATTCTGTGGAAGTCATTGGGGACCAACAAGTGTTTCTTTAAAATACCTTCTTTTCTGCTCAACAGAAGAAAGAAATTCATACAGGTTTGTGAGTGAGTAAATGATGACAGAAATTTCATTTCTGGGTGAACTCTCCTTTAAATAGAGGCTAGCCAAATTAGCCTATCCCTTACCAATTGACAGTTGACAGGATGGACAGGTTGCCTGAAACATTATAAAAAATATATACATGAGGTCAAAGAAAATATTAAACATGTGATAAACTATTTAAGTACTGTTGTAGACGGCGCCGGAAAAGCATTTTTTAAACATGCTCATTTTAAAACATGAGGCTTGTTTTACCTGGATGAACCTGTGCATGTCTTTGGTTGAGCTCCAGAAACGACAGCAGTTTGCTATTCAGACGTATCCCCAAACACCACATGCTCCTCTCTTCCTGTAAAACTGACACACTCAGCCGAGACAGTCTTGATTATGCCGTGTACCCAACTGAAACTGTAAGATTAACAAATCTGGTGCATATCTGCCCAAGGGACACACTTGCTGCCTTCTCTTCCTTGCTTTGTTTCTTTTGTATATATATATAGAAAAGCTTCTTTTTAGATATTTTCCAGTGGATCTTCTTTAATCACTTTACTAGACTTGCTTGTTTAATCATTGTGCTAGAATAATAAATAATTATCTCAAAATCCCTTTATATTGTTACACGGATATATAGTCACGCTGTATCTGAAGAAACGGGGTCAAAATATTATATATACTGTATAATAGTTTTCTGTGCTTTGTGATCTTATTCTGTCTGTGCAGGTGCTGGTTTGGGAAGCGGGCCGGCATTTACACTGATTATATTTATCAGGGTCCCATGATCCTGGTCCTGCTGGTGAGTCAGCACAGTTTGGATTCTGTACCCAATTACACAAATGTTTCATGAGATTTGGTGTGTGCAGGTCATTTAGCATTTTTTATTTGTTTGGCGCTTCCCCTTTCACAAGTCTTATTGCATTTTCCATGATTTATGTTTGTAATTTCATATTGATAATTCATATCTGGCATTCAAGTGTGCAAAATCGAGTGCTTTCTCTCTTCCTCTCTCCATCTTTAGATTAACTTCATTTTTCTCTTCAACATTGTGAGGATCCTGATGACTAAACTGAGGGCCTCCACCACCTCAGAGACCATTCAGTACAGGTGAGGCAGATTATTCAGCACTGACAGATCCCAGAGGAATGTTTTTTTTTTGCTAGCCCAGGAGACTTGCCATTCATAACACTCTAAAGTCTGAGTTTTCATTTCATTTTGGATAATTTGACTATGTTAGCTACCAAATGAGTAGCTCTTAACACACCATGCAAAGGTTTGAGGTTAGTATGACTTTAAAAATGTTTTTATGCTTAACAAGGCTGTATTTATTTGATCCAAAAAAAAAAAAAGTACAAACAGTACTGTGAAATATTGTGGTAATGTGACATATTATTACACTATAAAATTACTGTTTTCTATTTTAATTTACTTCAAAATGTAATTTATTCCTGTTAAAGCAAAGCTGAATTTTCAGCATCATTACTCCAAGTCTTTAGTGTCACATAAACCTTCAAAAATCATACTAATATGCTGATTTGGTGCTCAGGAAACATTTATTATTTTTATTAATGTTAAAAACAGTTGTGCTGCTTAATACTACTGTGCAAACAGTGATACAGTGATTAATGTTTTTCAGGATTATTTGGTAAATAGAAAGTTCAAACGAACAGCATTTATTTTAACTGAAATCTTTTGTAACACTTTAAATGTCCGTCAATTGCTTAGCATCCTTGCTGAATAAAAGCAATAATTTATTTATTTATTTTAAAAAATCATACTGAGCCCAAACTTTTGAACGGTACAGTATTTTACAGTTTTTAAAGCCAGAATTTTTGTCAATTTTGTAAGATGTAAAGAAACAGATTGTCTGGGCCCAGCTGGGGTATCATTTTCCAGACACTTATCCTAAAATTCCTTATGAGAAATAATAACAGCTATAAAAGGATAGTAGATGCAAGGCCACAGCTGCATACAGTAAACATTTAGAGCTATAAAATGAATCTGGAATGCATAACACTATTGTGCAAGCTAATGATGCTGTGATGGGATGCTCAGACAAACAGCGGTTTTAATAAAAACACAGTGTTTACACTATATGGGCAAATCATCCTACTTTATGGGCTTGCTTGTAGCTGTCTCTGCATTTTAAACTGCGATACAAGAATGTATTTTAACATCCAAAACATTACACACTTCACCTTTAAAGAGATCTCATTTGTGATTTGCCTTTCCTGAGGGGAAGCATAAAGATGGAAGAGGATGAGCGGATTGAGATGCTGAATTTAGAGGTGCTTGCTGTTTGTTCTGAGTTCTGGAACTTTAATAAGCTGTTAGTGTGCTGTGTCAAAATTGTGGCATGAATAAGGGAGGTAGGGATTGATGGATGATTGTTTGGATGATTGATGTATACTGAGGATGAGAGTTGGAGGAGAGAGAGGAGAGTGTTTGTGTGTATCTGTGTGTGTGTGTGTGTGTGTGTGTGTGTGTGTGTGTGTGTGTG